TCTCTCCCTCTCCCTTCCTCTCTAAAATCAATAAAAATATATTAAAAAATAAATTAAATAAAATTATATTTTAAAAATATCATTACATACATGGTATTCACTTGGGGAACTATTACCACTGTGACCAATGCCCACAGTTGAAAAAATAGGACAATTCCATCTTGCAATAAAGATTGTTAAACACCAAAAGTATTACCAAAAAGACAGTACATATAAAGTCTTTGGAACAACAATATCTCTGAAGTGGTACACAGATATTTTAAAAAATAAACTAGTATTTATTGCGTAGCCATTAGGCATTAGGCATTATTTGTCTTACTTTAATTTCCAAAATCCCTTCAAGGCAAATGAGTCAAGGTTTTCCTGGGACAATACAAGTGGCATCAAAGAACACTGAAATTTTAGAAATGGAAAGAAGTTAAAATGTAGTTTTTATTTATAAATATGATTACATGGTTAATTATTTGTGAAGTGATTTTGTTTTTTATAATATGTGAAACTTATTTTTACTTAACATATTTTTCCATGCAATTTTTTAAAAATTACATTTATCTAAGCCCCGTTTCTTAGAAATTAAATCCTGGTTCTACTGTCTAGTGTTTGTCTAAAGCACACATTCTATGTAATTGTTGTAAATTATTGCATTATACTCCATTACCAATTTGTTAGTGAGTGAGATGACTACCCATTTTTTGAGGTGATGTTTGTTTTGAAATAAGGGCTCATAAATAACATAGTGGTGATAAACCTAGCGTTTGCAATTGCACAGGTCTGTGATCAAACCCAGGTGTAATGAATTACAATCTCTCCGATTTTGGCCATGTGACTTATCTTTGTCCCTGTGGGCTGCTATAACAAACATATCACAGGCTATGGATAGCCAATGGGTAACCTATAGAAAAAGGAAATTTATTTCTCAATGATCTGGAGGATGGAAGTCCTAGATCAGGGTGCCAGGATAGTCAGGGTCTGGTGAAAACTCTCTTTTGAGTGGTAGACTGTGACTTCTCACTGTGTCCTCACATGGTGGAAGTGGCTATTGAGCTTCCTCCAACATCTTTTATAAGGACATTGATTCTATTCATAAGCTGCCCCCCCTCTCCTGTCCTAATCACCTTCCAAAGACGCTTCCTCACTAATACCATAATATTGGACCTTAGGATTTCAACATATGAATTTGGAGGAACACAAACATTCAGACCATAACATGTCTTAATCTCCCTGAAGCCCAGTTTTAAATAAGAATGGTATTATCTACCTCATATGATTATTATACCATTAAATTCATTATTTTATTCAATAAGTATTTATTAGCCTGGCTGGTGTGGCTCAAAGTTTGAGTGTTGACCTATGTACCTGGAAGTTATGGTTCCACTCCTGGTCAGGTCATATGCCCAGGTTGCAGGCTTGATCCCCAGTGTGGGGTGTACAAGAGGCAGCCAATCAATGGTTCTCTCTCATCAATGATGTTTCTATATATCTCTCCCTCTGAAATCAATTAAAATATATTTTAAAAGTTTTTATTATGCTTCTACTAAGAGCCAGGTATTCTTCTCCACAAAGAGGATAAAGCAGTTAACAAAACCAAGGCCCCTCCCTTACAAAATTTACGTTCTAATGGTGATGGAAGAAAGCAAACAAATAAATAACTAAATATAAGATATGTTGAATAGATCATACCTCAACATAATAAAAGCCTTATATGACAAACCTACAGCCAACATCATACTAAATAGGCAAAAACTAAAACCATTTCATCTAAGAACAGGAACAAGACAGGGATGCCCACTTTCACCACACCTGTTCAACATAGATCTGGAAGTGCTAGCCATAGCAATTAGACAAGAAGAAAAAATAAAAAGTATCCAAATTGGAAAAGAAAACATAAAACTGTCATTATTCACAGATGACATGATACTGTATATAGAAAACCCTAAAGACTCCATCAAAAAATTATTAGATTTCAAAAATGAATTCAGCAATGTAAAAGGATACAAAATTAACGCCAAGAAATCTATGGCATTTCTATACACCAATAGTGAACTTACAGAAAGAGAGATTTAAAAACCAATCATATTTACCATTGCACCACAAAAATTAAGATACCTAGGAATAAACTTAACCAAGGAGATAAAGGACCTGTACTCAGAAAACTACAGGATAATGAAAAAAGATACAAAGGAAGATAAACAGATGAAGAACATACAATGTTCATGGATTGGTAGAATCAACATCATTAAAATGTCCATACTACCCAAAGCAATCTATAGATTCAATGCACTCCCCATTAAAATACCACTGGCATATTTCACAGACCTAGAACGAACTCTCCAAAAATTCATCTGGAATAAAAAATGACCCCAAATAGCTGCAGCAATCCTGAGGAAAAAAAAAACAAAGTAGGAGGGATCTCAATACCAGATATCAAGCTGTATTACAAAGCCACTATTCTCAAAACTGCCTGGTACTGGCACAAGAACAGACATATAGACCAATGGAATAGAATAGAGAACCAGAAATCAACCCAAACCACTATGCTCAATTAATATTTGACAAAGGAGGCAAGAACATACAATGGAGTCAAGATAAGTCTCCAATAAATGGTGTTGGGAAAATTGGACAGATACATGCAAAAAAATGAAACTAGACCACCAACTTACACCATACCCAAAAATAAACTCAAAATGGGTAAAGGACTTAAATGTAAGATGGGAAACTATAAAAATACTAGAGGAATCCACAGGCAGCAAAATCTCAGACAGATGCCGAAGCAATTTCTTCACTGAAACAGCTCCTAGGGCATTGGAAACTAAGGAGAAAATAAACAAATGGGACTATATCAAAATAAAAAGCTTTTGTACAGCAAAAGAAACCATCAACAAAACAAGAAAACCCACCGCATGGGAGAACATATTTGCCAATGTTATCACCGATAAGGGTTTAATCTCCAACATTTACAGGGAACTCATACAACTTAACAAAAGGAAGATAAACAACCCAATCAAAAATAGGCAACGGACATAAATACTTTTCAAAAGAAGACACAAGGAAGGCCAAGAGACATATGAAAACATGTTCAAAGTCACTAATCATTCGAGAGATGCAAATCAAAACGACAATGTGGTACCATCTCACACCTGTCAGAAAGGCTATCATCAACAAATCAACAAACAACAAGTGCTGGTGAGGATGCGGAGAAAAAGGAACCCTCGTGCACTGCTGGTGGGAATGCAGACTGGTGCAGCCACTGTGGAGAACAGTATGGAGTTTCCTCAAAAACTAAAAATGGAACTCCCATTTGACCCACTTCTAGGAATATATCCCAAGAAACTAGAAACACCTATCAGAAAGGATATATGCACCCCTATGTTCATAGCAGCACAATTTACCATAGTTTAGATTTGGAAACAGCCTAAATGCCCATCAGCAGATGTGTGGATTAACAAGAAGTGGTACATCTACACAATGGAATACTACGCTGTGGTAAGAAAAAGAAGGAAATCAACTATAGTCCTCCACTCTACCAGCTGAGCTATCGAAGGGACG